AAGCTAAAGTACTAGCTGATGAGATCAAGGCAACTCATACACTGAATTTCTATGTTAATGAGATTGCTCAATGCTAATAAGGAGATACATGCAATGCTGCCTATCTCCTGGTTGGGTCTCCTGCTACATCCCTTCCACTGGCAGCTGGTCCCATTCATTCCCTTTCACAAGCAGTACCCATTGTTTGCAGAACAGAGATTTAGCACTTCCAGGGGCAGTGAACAGAATGAGTGAAATATGCTCATTTCTAGAATGGGACAAACAAGTAGAACTCCCTTATGTGAGCTCTACCAAGCTGCTTAACCTGAAAAATAGTGCTTTCACTCTTTTTTGTTTCCCAGTAGAAGTACTATTCCATCACCAGTGGTGCTACTTGTGAAAGGGATTTGTCAGGACTGGCTGCTTGCAGATAGCCCCCCTTGGATTCACAGCTCTGTTTTTCCCAGATGGCTCTACTCTTTTGTTACTTAAGATACCTTATAAATATATGGTTTGGGATTGACGTTCTTCAACATCCACCTCCAGATCTGCAAAACCTTTATTTTTTCATGTTTCAATCATATTTTCGATCCCTTATAATGTTTTGTCTTCTGCCTAACATCTACAAATAAGAACACAAGAAAAACCTGTGCTCAATCAGAACAGTGGTCTATCCAGTCCAGCATAGTAGCAAGCTGGATATCCACAGAATCCCTCAAACAGGATGAGTGCAAGACCTCCACCTGCCCAAGCTCCCAGCAACTTGTATATGCAGCCGATATCACTGATAACAGAGGAAGCACATAGCTAGCAAAGCAAGTAGCCATTGATAGCCTCCTCCTCCATGAATTCAATCAAATCCTCTGTTAAAGCCTTCCAAATCGGTAGCCATCACTATTATTTCTTCATTTCATTTCTATACCACCCCTTAGCCAAAGCTCTCTGGGTGGTTTACAATAAAGTATAAAACAAAATCACTACTTGTGACAGTAAAGTCTGTAATTTAACTATGCTTTATGTGAAGTGTTTTTCTTTATGCTGAATCTCCCACCAGTCAACTTCATGGGATGACACCAGTTTCCAGTATTATGGCAGAGGGAGAAAAATGTCTCCCTCTCCCCTTTCCCTTCACCATGAATAGTTTTAAAGACCTCTATCATGTTGTCCCTTTCTTGTCCTTTTCTATGCAAAGCAATACTAGTTGTTGTAGCCATTCCTCATAAGGAAGTTGCTCCAACCGCTTGACCATTTTAGTTGCCCTTCTCTGCACTTTTTCCCACTTAATATCTTTTCCAGATAAGACTATTAGAGCAGTATACGATATTCAGACAATCAAGCCACACCAAAAGTTTGCATAAAGGGAATATGATCTCGGCAGTTCTATTTTCAATTCCTTTCCTAACTATGCCTAATATGGAGAGTTTTTTTTTTTGCTGTGGCTACACACTGGAGCAACATTTTGATTGAGCTCTACACCACAACCCAAAAATTCCTTTCTTGATCAGTCACGGCTAGCTCAGATCTCATAGTCTGCACTTGAAAGTGGGAATTTTTTGCCACCATATGAATTGCTTTATCCTGGCTTACACTCAACTGCATTCACCACATTCACGTCCATTCTCCTAGTTTAGAGAGGTCCCTTTGGAGCACCTCACAATCCCTTTGGATTTTAAACAGCCTAAACAGTTTGCCATCATCAGCAAAGTTGGGCACATCACTGCTTACTCCTAATTAATTCATTAATTAATCATGATTCATTATGTTTATTAATCAAATAATTAATTGCTCCTTGCAAAACCAACGAGAAGTTATGGGTGGGGATAAGGTCCACAATCTGGGTTTGTTCAAGTCAGCAATTATAACAGCCTCCATCCTTCCAGTCTTCTGGTGATGCTTCTACTATTCCACTAAAGGGGCGTGCCCCGAAGTGGGGGAGGCTTGGGGCACCTAGCCATGTCAATCTCTCTCAGCACTCCAGCCTCCTTCCCTCTGCCTCTCTGGCATTTTACCTAGGCAGCCAAAAATGACACTCTGGTTAAAAATCGGGGAAAGTGGCACAGGGGTGGCAGAAGACTGCCCCCTCTGCACCTCACTCCAGCTGCTGGATGCACGTAAGGCTCTGAGTTTAGGATGGGGGCAACAGGACTGTTTGAGATGCTTCATAGTTTAGCAACCTGTAATTTTAATTAATGGTGATTGTTTCTGCTACATAATGCAGGAATGTAAAGGTGTCCAGAAGCATTCCCCCAGGCTTAAACTTAAACATATTTGTTAGCTAGTTTTAGATCCATCTTGACAATGTTGTACTCCAGTCAATTTGAGCAGTTTAAAGGATTTTGTGTGTGCTATAATATGTGATGTTACAAATGCAATAAATTTCAAATTACACTTATTTCCAACAAACCCCTAATATTTTCAGTTCCCCAAAACATGCTCCAGAGGGCCCTCTAAATTTCTGGAGTAGTTTTTGAAGGTGCACATGGAGCTTTGGAACAAATCAGCAGACTTGGAATCCACCTCTAGACCAGAGCAGTCTATTCTTATTACTCTTTCTTTTCTTGAGACTCCATAATCCAAAAGAGGAACAACTTTACATACCGGAGGGTTCCTGACTCCAGTCATGGCTAAATATTCTTATTTACCTGCATATGGTCATATGTCATCCATGGTTTATTTATGCTCTCTTGTTTTTATGCTAAAAACAAGGACTTCCTACTTCTTTACAATCCCTTCACTCTCTACATTTTAGTATTTTGTTCTAATTTAAAAATATATAAAACAAAACCAACCAAAAATGAAACTTAAGTATTTACAAATATGGATCTCCATCACTAGCATGATGTAACTATCACCATACATATCAAGGATGAACTTAATATGTATATGTCTGTGAACTCAGAATGAGCCAAAGAACACAACCCTAAGGAAAGCTATAGTTTGGGAATTGTCTTACGATCAAAACAGATATAAAGCTTCTTCTTAACCACATTAAGAAGAAGTTCTAGAAGCAGGTATATGATGTTGTGCTGAGTACTTAGTGGTGACTCGGCTCATATCTATTGTAAGAAGGTGCTGATCACAAAAGGATGTGGGCTTCTCGGTTTTCCATTAGTGCAGAAACCAAGAGCGCTCATTATTGCTGTACCAGCTGGACTACACACATGCTTATAAGAGACAGAACCTGAAAACGTACGTGCCACTACAGGTTGCCTACTGTAGAATCTGTGCAGGAGATAAATGTTGTGCTGGTATCTAAGAATAACCAGTCTGTCAAGATTATTCATTGGATGACGGTAATGTGCTGTCTGTTGGTATCCAACAAAATACAGCATTACAGCTAGATCCTTCAGCTTGTCATGGGAAATAAGCACGTTGCACAGAATCATTGTAGCAATGCAATTCTAGACATGCTTACTCAGAACTCCATTGATTTTCAGGGCTTCTGGCTGCTGAAATCAATGGGACATGTTCCCCATTTGAGTTACTTTCAGATTCTAACTGTGTGGGGGAAAGATCCCAAAATGGATCTGGTTTAATATGCGTTTTACTGATACTGGCTACTTCAAAACTGGAATCTAAGATTTTCACTCAGATCCTACAGGTCTGAATGAAGAAGTATTTCACAGTGTGCGCTCCAATTAAACGGCAAGCTTTATTTTAAGTATATCCTCCCCATCAGTGAGGGTGTTCAAGGAAAGATTGGACAACCATATGTTGGACAACCGGAGCCGGGGTCAGACTAGATGGCCTGGAAGACCCCTTTTGACTCACTTTGTTTCTATGTTTCTAAAGTTGATGGGATCCCTGAATACAAATGGGGAAAGATTTGTAAGACAGAGCATCAGTAGTTTTTACTTTCTTCCCAAAGACCATTTCCATTTATCCTGATACTACTCTGGATGTTAGTATCAAATATCCAGACACCACTCTGGAGTCCTGCTGAAACAATAATTTGAAGTTTTGTAAACCTGTCACTAAAAAAGCCTAGTTATGACATGCTTGGCACAACAATATTAACTTTAATAGATTGCCCCTGTATCTGAGATTGAAAATGTGTAACCAGGTTATGCTATGTTTTATTTGACTGCAATACTTGTATATATCATTGAGATAGTCAGTGTATATATGTTATATTTTGTTTACCAATTTATCTATGTACCTTTTGCTATGAAATTTAACTATGTTTCATAAATTATTTCTCTGGTATAGCACTGGTCTCCTTTGAGAACATTGTAGTTCTTTCCTGATTACTTTTTCTTTTTTCTGTTTTAATGGAATAATATTTTTCTGATCAACCATTTCTAGAGTGTAAGCCCACAGGCAAGGACTTCCTGTTTTCACCGATTCTGTGCAAATTATTCTAGGACCCCATTTTGCTGAAGAATGAGGTACAATCCTTTGAATAAACAATGGCAGCTATGTACTTTCAAGATGCAACCTGGATGTCTCTTGAAGTTCTCTATCACAGCAGCATACTGGTGAGAAAGAGTGAACCTGATGGTATGTAAAGGCTCTCTTCAGACATTGCGCTGTCCAAGAAGCATCTTTCCCAAACTTTCTTCTGTAACATGATTAATATAGTTGCCTCTTAGTTTGCCACCACCATCAGCTTACCAAAGATATATCAGAACTAAAGGCAAAGTTAAAATCTGGGCAAATGCAGAGAGCAATTGCCCATTCCTGATGGAAATTCTAGAGTAGGCAACTTGTAGGCCAAAACATCCAGAAGCTACCATTCCCATCCACCCAAGCCAGCATGGACAGTGATGAGGTGTGATGGTAGCTGAAGGTCAAAACATCTGCAGGGCCACAAGTTGCCAACCGTGACCTAGCAGTTTCCAGATTAACTAATAGCCTCCAAAACCTCCTATCAATGTTCTTATATAACATCCAATTTTCCCAAGTTGTTTTTCCCTAAATACCATCTGCAGAAAATAAGAACCAATTCAAAATTTGTGAAAGACTGCCAGTTATTATTCCCTCTGATAATTAACACATTATAGACATAGTTGTGTACTTACAATAGATCTGATGAGATTTTCTTTCGCCAGTTTCAGAGAGCTTTTATAGCAGTTTGCCAGGTCTTCTTTATGACTATCGCTAATATGCCCTCGTGCTATAGGTCCCACAGTATGAATGACATCTGCAAAGAAAGATACCAAATCATGAAAAAGATCTTGTGTCACATGAAATGGCAGTCTAATATCTCTACATATATTTACAACAGCTACAGCCAAGACATTGTATCATCATAATGATAAAGGTAAGTTTAAATTAGGATATTTCAGTTAAAGGCAGAAACAACAGAAGTTAACAGAGGCTGTCTTTTTCCTGGCCCTAAATTAAGGCATTTATAGAGATATTTTAATCTATACTATAATAATCAGCTTCTTTTCTGTTCTTTCCAGTGTCCTTGTCCTACAGCCTGACCTGAACTAATCGGCCAGTGGCGTTATCACAGAAAGCAACTGTTTTGGACTGTCATCTTGTGCGTCTGCAGTCTGTGATACTGGCTTGTCTTCAGCTTATATTTTAGCCTCTTATGGGTACAGCAGCAATTTCTTGCAAGACACTAACTCTTCCTTCTTTCCTGAAGCACATTTAGGTGACATATATATTATAACCTTTGATGATATCCGTCACAGTTTCTGGAAAACTTCTTATAGATGGAAATTGCCAGTAAGGATTTACAAGAATTTAGTTCCTGTTTGCAAATCATGTCCCCGTATCCCATTTGCAAGCCCAAACATTTGCAGGAGCATAATTCGCAGGATTTTTTTTTGGGGGGGGGGGAGTAATTTCCTGAACTTGTCTATGCATTTCAAAGTGTGTACTTCTGAAAATCACAGTTCTCCACAAAATACATTTTCATCCTTTAGCCTAAGGGGAAAAGGTGCACATTTGAGGTGCACGTTTGGAAAAGTGTACATTTGCCATGTTAAAAAAGGTGTGCTTTTCTTGTAGAAAAAAGGCCATGTGTTTGTATGTGAGGACAAGCACCCAAGTGGAAAATGAACTTTGAACTGAACGTTCACCCATTCTTAATTGTCAATGGAATCTCATCCTTGTTCCCCCAGCTCTCAGAGAAGGATAATGATTCATTCCAAAGCCCCACATTACAGAATACCTCTTCATTCCTTGAGAATTCTGGGCCACGAGAGCACTATCTCCTATTAACTGCTATTATTTGCATGTTCCCTAGTCACCAGTCATCCCATCCAGATCGTAACAGTTTTTGGTTCAGCAGGGAAAGGGGAAATATATAGCTGTGTCTTGCTGATCCTCAGGCTCTGTTCAGCGGATTGGAAGCATTCCTATTTACCTTTCCTTCTCTGCTAACTTACCAAGCCAGGAAGGAAGGGATAGCCTGTAGGTACAGGACAAGACCATCTGAAGACACAAACCTTAGAAATCGCTCTCTCTTACTTTTTGGTGCCCAGTTCATATATTACAACAGTGGAAAATGCCTTGCCACCTCTGGGATCCATGTTAGTATAACAGAATGTTAGACCATATGAGGCTGTCCTGTTCATTTTTTATTAATTAATTAGTTCCATTTCTACACTGTCCCATAACCTGAAGATTCTATGGGTGGCTTACAATGCTAGACCAGCATAAAATATGCAACTATTATAATAAAACAGTTATGTTTGGTATAACCACTTGGTATAAGCCACTTTTTTGCTTCTCTGTCTACCACCAGCACTTGGGTGGCAGGGATGAAGCTGGTACGAAGTAGCAACTTGATTAGGATGATTCCTAACAACTCAATTTCCCATACAATATCAAAGCAATGTGAAGTCTGTCCAGCAGTGTATATGGCAGAATTGTTTGTGGCTTCCATGGTACCAGAAGAATGTATCTACTGGCAGTGACTCTGATGTCATGCTAAGAAGATACCAAAAAAGCATTCATGGTTTGCAATCCAGCACATTGGAATCACCAGTTTCTTCTTCAGCACCATTAATATTCAGTACACCTCTGGCAAGTTTCTCCCTCTCTTTTCATCTTTTTTCCCCAAACATGCACCAGCAAATTTACAATAATTTTAAATTGATTTTCCACTGTCTTCTGCCTAATTAAAAAATGTTTACAATATGGCTACCATCCAAGCCTACCCCTAGCATCTTAGCACATTCTTAAGTTCTCCCAAGCCTGCCAGGCAGAAATCACATTTCATTTCTTTCCTTTCCTTTGTGATTAGAAAATGCAAGTATTCAAATGACTGCCAGTGGGCAACCTCCATGAATGAATCTGTTTTGCCAGTAAAATCAGTATGCCTGGTACAACCCAAATATGGAGGGATAACTGACAGCTATAAAACTCACACCAGGGAGCACAGAAAAGGGAAACGATCAACCTACTCTTTTTGATCATAGCTATTTTGCCTAGTTATAGGAAGAAAACTAGGTCTGGCCTAATGCTTGATTATTACATCCACAGTACATATCAGCAGGGCCCTTTAAATTTGTTTCCAAAAAAGTGAAATTTGAAGTAGGCACTTAGCATTTGTCACATGACACGAACGATGACAGTCAGTAATTTGGTTTTACCCTTCAACTAAGCTACGCATTATAAGCCATATGCATTTTATGCAGTACAGTAATAAAACTGAGAACTGCTGCCAGTGGAACAAACAAATATGGAAATATGCTGGGAGAAATACGTGTTTCTACATTTTGTTCTGGAAACCCTCTCATTACTGTTGTTTATCATATTTGACTGCAACAGCTTGCTCACTGAACTGTGTAAAAACAACATTTCTATAAATGTGAAGTTAGGAAGTTAGGTCACTGGTTTTTAAAATGGAAATGTTTTTATGGTTAAAGCCCACCCGCTGTCTAAAATATGGAAGCTTTCCTGTTCTTTGTTCTGCCAAACTTGTGGGTACCACAAGCGCATGTCACAGCAGGACAATATCACCAGCAAAAAATACCTAGGACCACAACATGGAGCAGGAGCAGTAAGCAAGCTTGATATTTTATTGATGAACAAGACTAGCAATATTAATACATCATTCATAATTAACCATGTCCAAACAGAGCATTAATATGCATATGTTTTAAGATGGTATTGGAGCTGCAAATAAAGCTACTAATTACCAGACATTTGCACTGATGTACGAGACTGCCATAACTGGAAATGAGAGGGTTCGTGATACTGCCTTGGTCCTATGAGTTGGTATAGTTGCTTTATTGCTTTGCCTGTTGCATTCCATCCGTCAACCATGCATGCTGCTACAAATATGAATTTGCATTTTCTTACCAGACATGTGTTAACAGGATGAACCACATATATTATCAATCAATTCCTCAGCTATAGGGGTTCCTCCATCTTTGGGGTTGGTGGGCTTATGTGGAATTATATTAGCATGTTGCAAGGATTACCACGAAGAAAGCTTGTCTGTTCATAAAATAACTGCCATGGTAAGCATAGCCAGTTCCAAAATACTCATTTCCTGGAATGCAAATACACCTCAAATACCAAATCATATGTTTATTCTACAAACCACAACTAAATACCCAGTTCAGAAAAGATAAACCAGTGAAGCCCAAAGAATACCCAGACAGACAAGCAACCCTTCACTGTCCAAAAATGCAGGCAAAAGATATAGAAACTGTGTATGTCTCTGCTCCAGGCAAAAAGCACACACAATCCTCAGCAAAACATCTCCTTCACGCCACTCTGCCCCTAGCCCCCAGTCCCCCACGGGACTCCCTACTATCCATCAGCTTGCCATTTTTTCTTTTTTCGGGGTGCATGACTCTTCCTCATGACAAAGCACCAGATATTTTTCTTTTCTAAGAACATATCTTGGGCTGGAAACTACATGGCACAATGCTTTGCAGCATACCACCTCCTAGTTAAAACAAACAAACAAAAATTAAAAGGAGGCACAGGAAGCCTGCTGGACCACAAAGAAAGGTTCCATAGGGACCGTTTTTAGGACCTAGCTCTCATAACTAAGCTAGATGTCTGTGTATTTTCCACCCAATGCCTTTCCAAGTAGTATTCCAAGCTAAAAGACAAAAGTGAGAAGCTGGAATTGCTGGTTTGGCAAAGACAACAGAGGCAAGTTTAAAGTGGGCAGGTATGCCTGCAACCAAACCTTCTACTGAAAAGATGAGACTTGCATCTAGGTACAGAAGCAATATAATCTATTGGTGTGAAACAACAAGACAAGTGATTGAACCTCCTGCATTTCCAAAATTTCTTAGTGATTTTAGGATACCAGTGAAAGGGAAACAGGCAGAGCTTTCAGAAAGCCAAGCCCACCTATCTGCATTTCAGGAAAGCAGAAGAACATCAACAGAAAGGGAACAGGTGTAATATCCTTCTAATGGCCAACCCACTGAAGCAAGGATAGGAGCTATCTAGCCTCCAGATGTTGATAGACTGCAACTCCCATCAACATAGCCAGAATAGCCAAAAGTAGGCGGTGGTTGATAGAGACATAAAGGCCTTGAAAACTCTGGAAAAATGGGAGGGGGGTTTCTGCCTTGTTTTTCCCCAGGCCTTCATATCTCTAGTAATGAGAGGTGCAGTCCAACAACATCTGGAGGGACACAAAATGTCCATCCCTTCACTAAGAGACAGGGGTGGAGGGAGGACTCCGGAACAGCAGTCACTTGGAACTGGCTACAAGATAATCATTTATGCCCGACAGATGTGAGGCTGCCTTGAATTATACAGAAAACCTGTGACTTCATCTCTCAAATCCAAAACATTCAATCACTTTCTAGAAAACAGAGACTTACCAAGAATTGTAAAATGTTTACAAGCAGTTACACAATTAGCATCAGAAAAGAAAATGTTTCAGTGCTTGTGCGAAATAAGCAGTTTATTGTTAAAGGTTAATAACAAATAAAGCATTGAAGGCAGGCAAAGAAAGAGAGAGAATGGGGAAAGAAAACACTTTGGGGAACTGTATTAGGTCTGCTCTCATCAAATGCATTAATACTCTTGGCAAACAAATGAAACATAGATGGAAATTAGGAGATGGGACCAAATGAGATATATTTACCAATACTGATGAGGAAAGAAGAATAAGCAGGAAACTAAACTTGAGAAAAGGACACAGTAAAATGCAAGCTGATAGAGACTTTAGAAAATAACTTTAAAAACACATTCCTAAAAACAAAC